AGATCTTTCTGTTCATCAAAGAATCCTGAAAAAAAAATTAGTTATCAGCAAATCAGCATATTATACTGATTTCTGAAGATCATGTGACACTGAAGACTGCAGTAATGATGCTGAAAATACAGCTGCGCCTCACAGAAATACATTACACTTTAACAGAGATTCACACAGAAAAGTTATTTTAAATAGTAAAAATATTTCACAGTTTTTACTGTTTTTGCTGTACTTTGCATCAAATAAATGCAGCCTTGGTGAGCAGAAGAGACTTCTTTAAAAACATATAAAAAATCTTACTGTTCAAAATCTTTTGACTGGTCGTGTAGGCTGATTATTCTTATAGATTGAAACAAATGTGCATTCATATAAAACACCCACGGCGTGTTTTGATTTTGAAACGTGCAGTGCTCATGTTTATTCAACGAAGTCAAACACCACAAGTAAATCAATGTATGGGAAACACTGATAATGTATATCGGAAATGTGTTTAAAAATCATATCACCCTTATTGAAAAAAATTATATCTCGATACATATCGATATTGAATTATTGTCCAGCCCTACTGATCCTTACAGTAAAACAGGCTGTTATTTTTTACTGCTGACTCTTTTAAAACATCTGTATAAACACCTTCATCACATGAGAAACAGCACTTTTCTGTGAGTTTAATGTCACATCCATTCAATAACAGTCTCTGATTCAAAAAACTCATTTGAATTCTTCTGCTGTTTAGGAATAAACTCATTTAGATCTGCATTGATTTTTTTCTGTCTAACCTAGGGTTATCATCGTTTATGAAAACTAAGTCCATAATAAAGAATTGTTATTAACATATAAATATTAAAGCATTAACTGAAATAAAATACAAAAAAAGGTTCTTTATTTTGTTATTTTATTTCAGCTAGTCTAAAAGTTTTTTTTATTTTATTTAGCAACATTTCTAATTGTCTTTTGGCTGTCTAAACTACAACGAAATCAAAATTAATAAAAACGATATAGCCAAAAAAAGTTCCGTTTAATTTGAAGTGCTAAAATAAGTAAAACTAAATAAAAACAAACTATGTAGACAAAAAAAATGACAAAATTACTCGAATGAAAACGAAAACAGCAGATTTAAACATTAAAAATAAAGTGTAATACAGAATAGTAATAGTATATCAGTAATACTATAATAACTCCCGAGTCGCTTCTGTGGTTTAGTTTCCGTAAATGCTCCTGTTAGACTGGGAAGGATGTCTGGAGTCTGAAAGCTCAGTATGTTACAGTAGAATAATGAACGTTTAATGAAGATGGCAGATATTCGAATGCTTGATTGAAATGCACTGCGTCGTCCACAGGAAGCAGGAAGATCTGGTGTATAACGTGAGGAAGAGGCTGGAGGAAGCGCTCATGGCAGACATGCTCGCACACATAGAGGAAGCCACCAGCGAGGCCAAATCTCTGAAGGAGGAGTCCACCGACGAGGAAACGGAGTCTTTATAGCTGTAAGAGAAAAAACATATGTGACCCTGGAGCACAAAAGCAGTGTTAAGTCGCTGGGGGATATTTGTAGCAATAGCCAACAATACATTGTATGGGTCACAATTACACATTTCTCTTTTATGCCAAAAATCATTAGGATATTAAGTAAAGATCATGTTCCATGAAGATATTTTGTAAATGTCCTACCGTAAATATATCAAAACTTAATGTTTGATTAGTAATATGCATTGCTGTATAGCTGTAAGAGAAAAAACATATGTGTCCCTGCAGCACAAAAGCAGTGTTAAGTCGCTGGGGGATATTTGTAGCAATAGCCAACAATACATTGTATGGGTCACAATTACACATTTCTCTTTTATGCCAAAAATCATTAGGATATTAAGTAAAGATCATGTTCCATGAAGATATTTAGTAAATGTCCTACCATAAATATATCAAAACTTAATGTCTGATTAGTAATATGCATTGCTAAGAACTTCATTTGGACAACTTTAAAGATGATTTTCTCAATATTTAGATTTTTTTGCACCCTCAGATTCCAGATTTTCAAATAGTTGCATCTCGGCCAAATATTGTCCGATCCTAACAAACCACAAATCGATGGAAAGATTATTTATTCATTTACTCTCAATTTTGGTCAAAATTGACCCTTATGACTGGTTTTGTGCTCCAGGGTCACAATTATCTGCAAAACAAAACACATTTTTAGTTAATTTGCTATTTATGTATACAGATTTTATTTTATTTTATTGATTTTGTATTGTTTACATATTTTTTTAATTTGTATTTTAAGTTCATTTTAATTTTTTTTAAATATCCCTAATGCCGCTGTCGTTACCTTCACATTGAGCATTTTAGAAAACCAATGAATTGTGAATCAGTGCATTAGCCAGCTGCATTAAACCAAACTTTGAAGGCCAGGATCAGATCTGTGTTCAAGGACATGTATTGAAACGCTTTGAAGAAGATCTGGTTTAAGTTTGATTGTAATGCTGTTCATCTGTGTGTCTGCAGGAAAGCGGTGGTGATGGGAACGACCTGGACGACAGTATTCTTCCTCCCCAAACCCAAAGACGCACTCAGACTCCGACTGGAGCCGATCCTATGCAGAAACCAGCCTTTCTTCTCCAACTCAGCTGTGAACATTTGTTTTACCATAACATTTCAAGCAGTTTTATTCAACCAAATTCACTTTTTTCTAAGTGGATTTGCTCTATTTTTGTTCAGTACAAGCGTAAAGTTTGGGCAGGTTTGGGTTTCCAGCATCACGCAGTGGGTTTGAGTGAGTTTCAGTGCTGTCGGTATGACGGATGCCCAGGATTTTTTTATTCAGACATCGTAAGCTAGTTTCAAATCATGAAAGTTTATTTTTTTTAATTTTTTATACAAACAAAATGCCATGTTTTTATGACTGATTCTAGAAATAATGTACTAGTAGTGCATACTGATTTGTGATGGCTGGTACAAATACGGTGCTCAATTCTTCCTGGTTCCTTTATATTTGAGCTTTTGTTACAGTGCTGTTTGAGTGTAGACATGACATAAGCTCTTACGTCGGTGCTTAGGTTTTTGTATTCATGAGTTTGTCAATGCATAGCTGATATCACAGTTATTTTTTTAGTTGCATCAGATTGGATCAAGCTGTTTGTGTTGCTGTATGAAGCTGGTACATTTGTCATCATTCACTGATGCAGCGTGGTTTATTATTACGGACTGAATGGTTACAGTACAGAAATCTGCATGATGCATCAGTGTTTGCTCAGTAGAGGGCGTGTTTTTCACTTACACTAATTCTTCACACACCCATGATTGAATTTAATAGATGATTGACTCATACCCTGATGTTTTTTTCTTCGAAATATGAAATATATTTGAAATCTGCAGGAGAGGTGTTTTTGTATGTTGCCCTTTATTTGCGAGAAAGCTTTTGAAAATACAAACCTTGTAGCTGAAGGACACATCATTTTGTAAACTTGGAAAATAAAAGTCTTTCAACACACGTCGGCACATTCACGTTTTATTTTAATGCAAATATCTCGTCATATTTCAAAGAAAGCAAATGTAGAGTCACAAACCTTTGTCACTAATTAAATGTTTCATTTTATACATGTGTTCTTCTGTATCAATATTTAAAATGTACTTAACGGTTATTATTAAATGTGTTTATAGTATACAATATATTTTTTAAATCATATTTATAAATGTATTGCATATATTTATGAAATTGTAATCATTATAATTAACATTATATATTTGTTAAATGTATTTAATAGTTAAATGTTTATAATAAAATTTATGGAATTTTGAAATCATATTATTTAATAAATATTCATAAAATGTATTTATGAAATTTAAATCACATGTATATTTAGTTAAATATAAAACTTAATAGTAAAATAATATATAATGGTACTGATTTTGTGTGTGTGTATATATATAAATTATAGATTTTTCTTTTATGCCAAAAATCATCAGAATATTAAGTAAAGATCATGTTCCATGAAGATATTTTACACGTAAATCTATCCAAACTTAATGTTTGATTAGTAATATGCATTGCTAAGAACTTCATTTGGACAACTTTAAAGATGATTTTCTCAATATTTTGATCTTTTTGCACCCTCCGATTCCAGATTTTCTAATAGTTGCATCTCAGCTAAATATTGTCTTATGTAATGTATTTATAAAATATATTTATGAAGCTGAATCATTAGAACATATAGATTGTGTGTATATAGGCTATACATAGCGGACATATTATTGTAATATTTATTTATTTGCCAGTGGCCTTTTTTATTGCAGAAAAAAGGAACATACAAGTAATAACAATACAAATAAGAAAAGAAAAAGCATAACTCGCATTCAGTTTGAACAAATAAAGATATTACAAAGTACCGGGAGGATTAAACATATCACAGACTTATTGAAGAAATATAAAAGTAAAAATTAGAACAAAACATTTGGAGATGAATTAAGATATTTTGCTAATAAAATAACAAGGTTAACAATAAATTATAGATCTTCAGTGCTTTTGTTTTCATAATACAAGAGAACACCCTTTAAAGTAAAGCAATAATTAATATTCATTCAATTAAATCTACATTTGCCAGTGGCCTTGTTTTATTATTATTATTATTATTGCAAGTATAAACACTTAACATTCAACAATTAATGTAACATTGGATGCCATTATGAATACAGAAATTATATATAGAGAGAGAAAAAATTAAATAAACAAGAATACATAGATAAAACAAAAAATGCAAATCAAGAAGTATGCACCATTCAGCAGATCATTATACAGTTTCACAAATTTGACACCTTTTTTTTTTTTTGGGTATTAATATTTTTTTAGTGTTATAACTAAGTAGTTAAAGTCACAAAGAAAAATTATGTAATTTTGGAGATGTTGAAGAAAATGTAGATTTATGAATATGATATTTTCCCAATAAAATAAATACATTTCCTATATATTCTGCGTTGTGTTGCCGGTGGCCTTTGACCCCATTGTTGTGCGCCGGTGACGTCAGCGCCGCGAGCGAGACAGCGCGCGAGAGAGAGAGCGCGAGAGAGAGACACAAAGGCGGCGGAACGAACGGGAGAAAGCGCTATAACACCTCTCTAGCGTTCCACGCGTGAAAACGGCCAGAAAAACAATGAGCAGACCGCGCGAGTGAGCGGTGCAGAGGCGGGACGCGTGATCCGAACGCGCGCTGGGGGTCGCTTTTAACCGCGAATGCTTTTAAAACGAGTGTTTTTCTCCAACGCCCCCCAACGATTAGCAGCTCCGCTAGTGGTTAGCCATCATCACCTTCTCCCTCATCCTCCACAAAACACCCGACGCGAGCGGCGAGCGGGACGGGAGCACATACGGTGAGGCTTTGCCGCTTTATTGAACGCGTCTCTGTGGTAGTATCTTGTTCGCCGGCTTCCGTATCGCCCGCGTGGCGCGCGGCTGAGATCCACAAACAAAGGCGACAATGTGACTGATCGTCTCCGGCTAGCGGCGCGGCTAGCGGCTAACAACACTTCAACTCCAACATCTCCGTTTAAACTCACGATTCCGCCGGTTTGGAGTGGCTCACGCTCCTGCCGCGAGCGTGGCTAAATAACGGCCGCTTGTCATGAAATGTAACGTTGACCGCGTTGTGAGACTAACAGTTACAACGCGGAGCTAAAGAGCAGCAGAAGCAATACAGACAAAAGAGACGCGCGGCGTGGAGCGCGAGAGCACAACAAGCGCACTAGCACCGCTTTCAGTGTTTCTAGATGGTTTGTGTCACTTCTCAAGGTGTCTGATGGGTTTAAATGTGACCCAGGACCACAAAAACACTCATAAGGGTCATTAAAAAAAAAATTTGATTTATGTATCATCTGAAAGCTGAATAAATAAGTTCAAATGGTTTGTTAGGATAGGACAATATTTGGCTGAGATACAACTGTCTGAAAATCTGGAATCTGAGGGTGCAAAAAAATAAATTGCAAAAGGTCTTAGCAATGCATATTACTAATCAAAAATGAAGTTTTGATATATTTACCATAGGACATTTACAAAATATCTTCATGGAACATGATCGTAATATCCTAATGATTTTTGGCATAAAAGAGAAATGTATAATTGTGACCCATACAATGTATTGTTGGCTATTGCTACAAATATCCCCCAGCGACTCAACACTGCTTTTGTGCTCCAGGGTCACAGATGTGTTTTTTCCTTCTAGGAAGCATGCTTGGTTCGTTGTCTGATGCGCACGCGGGGTCGACTATGCCTAGCCCGTTGTTTCACCCTGACATCATGGATCACGAGATGGTAGTGAGCAGCACCGGACAGTCCGGCGGGGTCACCGAGCAGGAGCCCAGGGACGAGAACCACCAGGAGGCGCTGCGCTTCGCTCTGGACCAGCTGTCACTCATGGCCCTGGAGAAGGTGGACTGTCTGGATGGGACCTCGGCCGGTGAGAACTGTAACGGGGGAGGCGGATACGTCGATCTGCAGATGCTCGAGCACAGCAACGGCTCCCAGGAGTCACCCGGCTCCTGCTCGCCCTCTCCGGAGTACTACAGCTCGGGCGGTGGTGGTGCATACCACATGGCCAGCCCACACTCCTCCATCCTCGGGGAACAAAGCTCGGTGCTCCGCAAGAGAAGCGTCAACATGACCGAGTGCGTGCCGGTGCCCACGTCCGAGCATGTGGCCGAGATCGTCGGCAGACAAGGTAATATTTACTAAAACGGTCGTAAACAATAGTAAACCAACCATTCTTTATGATGCAAGAGATGATAAACAATAGAAGCAATGCAGTAGAACAATAAGTAGTTATTCGCCTGCAAGATATGAATATTTTAATCTCATTTGTGTTCTGAGAGATTATAAACAATAAATGCAATGCATTTGAACAATTTGAAAGCATTGCATGTAGTTATCCGCGTGCAAAATATGAGTATTTTAGTATTATTTATGTTCCAAGAGATGGTAAACAACACATGCAATGCACTTGAACAACAGGAAAGCATTGCAAGTAGTTATTTGCGTGCATATGAAATTAATTGTTCCAAAAGATAAACAAATGCAATGCATTTGAACAATATGAAAGCACTAAAGGTAGTTATTTGCGTGCAAAATAGGAATATTCAGTAATATTCTTTGTTTCAAGATATATAAACAATAAATGCAATGCATTTGCACAATAGGAAATCATTGCAAGTAGTTAAAATATGACTTGTGTTCCAAAATATGCTAAAATAATAAATGCAGTCGAACAATAAATCAGTATAACCTTACTGGGATCATGTGACCTGTCTGAAGTTGTTTACTGGATAGTTGCATTGAAAATATGATTGTTTATCTAAATTCTTTGTTCTGGAATAGTACATTGCATTTGAACGATATGAAAATCATCACTTTAATCGTCTTGAGATTGCATGCAAAAGCTGTGATTTTGAATATTCACTCCCCTTCTGTGTTCCTGGACATCATAAACAAAGCAATGCAGAGCATCAGAACAATAAGCCGGCGTTATGAGCAGAAGTGAGCGGCCAGTTGCACGTGCGTTGTGCGTTATGCTTCTGGCCTTGTTTTGGCACGCATGCACGGGTGTTTTGGTGCTTTTTGTCGTATGTTTGTCCTTCATAAACATCAGTAGTGTCGTGGGGGGATGGATGGAGGGGTGCTGTGGCTGTGGGGGGTTGGGAGGGGGTCTGCTCATGTCTAAACCAGACAATAGAGACTCGTATCGACCGCTGCGGCTTCACGGTTCTCCCGCCCATCTCTCTGTCTGCTGATTATCGATCTGTGATTGCGTTTCGTTCAGGATCCGGAGCGTTATATATGAACGCAGACACAGGGTTCATGTGAGGATACGAGTTATGCAAGTATAGGGGGCCAGGGTTTGCGCAATGCATTTCAGCTCTGATGCCCCTATTTGTTAAACACCCGTGAGAAATCATCCGAAATGATTTGGTTCATGTAAAACGAGCGTGATTTCTGCGAGCGGCGCGCGGCTTTGTTCTCTTTGTTTGAAACGCCATGCGTTCGGCTTCCCGCGATGACGTCACAGAGCGGCCGCGCCATTGGCTGAGTGACGTAAGCCATGCGGATTTAAAGGAACAGTGCGCCTCTGTGCGGCCGCTGATGAAAGAAGAAAACAATACACGCCAATGACTTAAATCTGGTGTTTGGTTTTTTTGCACTTTATTATCAATGTTTGGGTAAACCCTGAAGTATTTAAAACGCTATACTTGTAGACTTTATGTGACCTGGTAATATGCTTGTTTGTGACCCTGGACCACAAAACCAGCCATAAGGATCCATTTTTTGAAAGCTGAATATATATAAGCTTTCCATTGTTAGGATCAGACAATATTTGGCTGAGATGCAACTATTAGAAAATCTGGAATCTGAGGGTGCAAAAAAATCTAAATATTGAGAGAATCATCTTTAAAGTTGTTCAAATGAAGGTCTTAGCAATGCATGTTACTAATCAAATTAAGTTTTAATATATTTACGGTAGGTAATTTACAAAATATCTTCATGGAACATGATCTTTACTTAATATGCTAATGATTTTTGGCATAAAAGAAAAATTTATAATTTTGACCCATACAACGTATTGTTGGCTGTTGCTACAAATATGCTACTATTATTGAATTTAATTAATAATTTTTATATTCAAGTATGTGCCAAGTAATCAACCTTTTGCCTTTGCTAGTTCATTAAAAATGTTAAATGGTCCTGAAATTAATTTTTAGAAGTACATATATACCATGTCAATTAATATGAGCTCATTACCAAACTGCATTTCTGTATGTCATCATCATTATAAATGTATTCTAAATATATTTTTAATAAACATATCAATGTGTTATTATCTAAAACTAGCATAACACTACTGAAACGATATAATGTGGCATGGTTATCCACTTTATGGTTTCTTACAGGCAAAGAACGTGTACCTGATACTGGCTTAAATGTATAAATTTGCCTAAAAATAAATTTGACTAATTTTAAAAGCATGTAGTCTGTCATTTCATCTTCATAATTCCACTTAAACTATAGCATGCTACTACTGGAACAATTTCAGCATTATAATAAAGTAAAGTATGACTAATTTAAAATGGTATACTTGCAGATATTAGAAACATTGATTTATTTAAAAGTGAAAAGTGAAATGTTTATTTAGGTTATATGTAATAAAGAAGTATGATAATCACTAATGACTTTAAATATAATAATTCCAGTATGATGTTGTAATTATTAAGATGTGTAACTTTACATATTCTATTCAACCTTTTGTCTTTGCTAGTTCATTTAAATGGTGATGTGGTGACAAATGAATTTTAAAAACTAGAGATATACCACATTCTCAATTACAATAATGTCGTAATTACAATAATTTAAATTACAGTAATAATGATTTATACATTTACATATGTCTGTAACCTTTTATCCTTGCTACTTCTTTAAATTGTCTTGTGGTGTGTTAAATGAGTTTTAAAAAAAACTACAGTTTCTTCTGAAAATATGCATTTTGCTTGTAGCATGTCAAATACCGAAGTTTTATAATAAAATGACGACTAAAATGATATTCTAAAATATATTAGAAACAAGGCTTTATTGATTTGGTTATACATTTATATGACAGTCAAAGTCACTGTTATTGACTTTTAATAATATACTGGAATTATTATATACGAGTATGAAATATACATATGCCTGTCATAATTTGCATTTTATTTTATTATTATTATTTTTTTCCCTCAACCTTTTGTCTTTGCTAGTTAATTTTCAGTGGTCCTGTGGTGACAAATACATTTTTTTAAAAAGTGCAGATATGCCATGTTGCCTTTCTGGTAAAATTTGCTCATTAAAAGCCAATTTAAAAAAAATAAAAAATACTTATGTAAATTGACTAATTTCAAATAGTACACATGCAGCTATTCAAAACGAGGCTTTGTTTATTTGGGTGATCACTTATGATAATCAATGAGAAGTCAGTATTATTGACTAATTATTAATAATGTAATTAATCATTATATTCAAGTATGATGTATAAATTTACATGTCTGTCATAATTTGCCTTTATTTTTTTATTCAATCTTTTTGCCCTTGCTAGTTCATTTAATCCTTCCTGTGGTGTGATGAATACATTTTTAAAAGTTCAATATACCACGTTGTCTCTCAATTAATTCAAATAATTTAATTAATGAGCGCATTAGTAAAATCTAGGGCTGGGACAATAAATCGATGCATCGAGAATTGAGTAATTTTTCTGCATTGATTCTAAGGTTATCGGGATGCATCGCGATTCTCTTTTGAATCGATTCTGAGCTTAGTTTTTAACAGCAGATGGCACTGCGTGCTTTAGAAACAGCCGTACTCTCCTGCTTCCAGTTCCTTACACGCACACCACTTAAGCATAAAATGATCATTCATACAGTTTGAAAAGGTTTAAGTGAATTACGTTCACAGTGGGCTGTGTTTACATCAATCTCTCGTCATAAAAGCATAAAATCCAAGGTGCAAGTACATTTAACCACTTACATGACTCAGCCGAATGCACAAGGTCTCTTCTTCGTGAGCATTCGAGTGTGCGGTGAAAAACTAGCCTAGAGCGCCATCTGCTGTTAAAAACTATGCTCAGAATCGATTCCGGAGAGAATTACGATGCCTTCGGAAAATCTCAGAATCGATCCATGAATCACGATGCATCGATTTATTGTCCCAGCCCTAATAAAAACTGTAAATTTGTTGTAACTAGTAGCATTAAAGCATGACACTACTGAAACAATTTAAATTGTGTTACAATTAGGGTTGCAAACAGGTGGAAATATTCCAGAAATTTTGGAAACTTTACAGGATTTTTTTTGGTATATTCCAGTGATTTTTGTAAAGTTTCCGGAAATTTTCCACCCCTTTGCAACCCTAGTTACAATAAATGTTTGTCAGTTTGACTTGAATGCACCATTTTTTATGTTTTGTTTTTTTTTCCAAATTTTTTTTGCAGGTTGCAAGATCAAAGCACTCCGTGCAAAAACAAACACCTACATCAAAACCCCCGTGAGAGGAGAAGATCCCGTGTTCATCGTGACGGGCCGCCGCGAGGACGTGGAAATGGCCAAATGTGAGATTGTCTCGGCAGCTGAGCACTTCTCCATGATCCGCGCCTCGCGCTGCAAAGCCGGCGCAAACGGCCCCGGATTGAGCGGCTCGCTTCCCGGCCCTCCCAACCTCCCCGGACAAACCACCATCCAGGTGCGCGTTCCCTACCGCGTCGTGGGCCTAGTGGTGGGACCCAAAGGAGCCACGATCAAACGCATCCAGCAGCAGACGCACACCTACATCGTGACGCCCAGCCGCGAGAAAGACCCTGTATTTGAGGTCACCGGCATGCCTGAGAACGTGGATCGCGCGCGAGAAGAGATCGAAACGCACATTACGTTGCGCACCGGCGCTTTCGTTGACCTCCAAGGTGATAACGACTTCCACAGCAATGGGACGGATGTGAGTTTAGAGGGTCTCGGGTCGCTCGGTTTGGCCGGCGCGCTTTGGTCGCGTGCGACTCACTCTGCGCCTCCACCTCCGCCGCAGATGCACCATTCATCGCGCAAAATGTCGTCCGAATCATTCTCTGCGACTCGACGGGCGACAGATGGAGGGGGAAGCCCAACAAGCCCATTTAGCACGAGCAGCGCCGGCGGGAGCTTCTCCTTCGCGGGCGATTCGACTCAGAATTTGCCAGCGCCGTCGGAAGATTTGGGTTTCGAATTCAGCTCTGCGAAAATCTGGGCGCCGTTTGCAAAGGGCGCGAAGCAACAGACACAGACGGCCCGTCGCAACAGCAGTGGCCTCAGCGCAGGTGCTGTAACCCCACGGCTCTCACCCGACCCAGATCACCCGCTCGCCCGCCGGGCCCAAAGCGACCCGCTAAGCACGCTCTCCTGGCTCCAAACGGGCACTGGAAGCTCGTTCTCGGGCGGAAGCAGCAGCAGCGGCGGAAGCAGCACTGGATACTCATCTTGCTCGGCGTCGTCGCTCCCGGGTGGCTCGCCAACTGATTCAGAAGGTGGCGGAAGCGGAGTGGGAATCGCTTCCACTATGTTGGGACACCTCAAAGCGGGCGGCCTGGCTGGGATGGTGTCTCGGGATTGTTTTGTGTGTTGCGAAAGCGAGGTGACCGCCGCGCTCGTTCCGTGCGGCCATAACCTCTTCTGCATGGATTGCGCTGGGCAGATTTGCCAGTCGCAGGATCCCGAGTGTCCCGTTTGCCACACTCCTGCCACACAGTGCATCCGGATCTTCTCTTAAACTTAGACTGCCTTGAGTAATTATTAGAAATGACACTATTCCGATTTATTGACAGTAATAATAATAATAATAACAACAACAGTGACTTTATTACCCACTCAAGTACTTGTCAGACTGCGTCTTATCTTCAGCTGTTCATATTCGGTGGGTTGTTTTTCCATTCATGCTTCCGACTTTTTCTACTCGCAGATTTTTCGACTTTTACGCTGCACTTTTTTTCTAATGCGTTTTTTTCGTGTTGCCGATGCAGTAGTTTTTAAAATTATTTTTGCGGGGTTTTTTTAAATGCGAAAGCTGCGCTCGTTTAGACCAAAACATGAGAGATATTCCTGTTTTATCGAACACTTAATATTTATACGCGTTACGAGATAATACGCAACGTGCTAGTGGTTGTAGGATCTGAAATAGCTAGAATAGTCCATGTTATGAATATCCTTACCGTGCATTTTCTCTTTTTGCCACACTACCTTAAAACATTCACGTGTCAGTTCATTCCTGCACTCCAGAAACAGGGTTGCTAGTATTTAACGAGGACTTTTTATCTGTTACGACTTTTCGAATCAAACGGCATACTGAATTATCTTTCGAATGTTTAGTCGTGAATGTGTGCGAGAGCGACACACAGAAATGTCTTTCGCTGGAGTTTGCGTCTGTCTTCCGGCCCTCGCGCGAGCGTTTCGTTTACGATTGCGCACCCCCGTACGCTGCCTACGAACGAATCTGTAGTCCTGCCGAACAGTTTTTACGCGACAAGCCATGCTTTCACACTCTAAAGGGCTTCCGGTTATACACTACACTTCAGGTCGTCCTAATAAACGGGATGCCAGTCCGCGTGGCAGCTAAATCACCAGGGCTTCCGTACATTTTAGCGATGCACGAGCCGTTTCTCCTTGAACGCGAGAGATTCTGACGTATTAAAGGGCGAGAATGCGTTTCGGTTTGAACAGGTTTCTTTCTCTAGATGCGCTTTTAGATTTTTCTTTGGCGTGTCGAATATATTAAACGTGCCAGAACTCGAGCGCTAACGGTGCCTTGGTGGTGAAACTCGCTGCCGGGAATGAAGATTGTGACGTAATTTCTCTCCGCTCTTCCAGTTTTAGTGATTTGTACAGAGAGCCGTGTCGAATCTGAGCCGCTCGTTTTCTTCTTTTCGTCCCCAGATGTCGTTAAAACTAGTGTAACTGGTTGAAAGGTACAAGAAGCTAGTAGTTTTTCGGTTGTATGTATGTGACGTGTTTTGGTATCGGCGATGAAGGTCATGTGACTAGTGAAGAATTGGCCTGAAGTCGGAACGGTTTCCTTTCGGTTTTTTTTTCCTCAAACAGGGTTGGCTGAGGACGATCTCAGGCGGTTTTGCATTGGAAAGACGTCAGACGCTGTTTTCCCATGATTCATTTGTGCCCTAAACTCGCTCGGCTTTTACTTTCGCTTTAATTCCTTTTGTACACCGAACCAAAAGCGATTTCAATAACCGGATTTCAGGCCTAATTGTAAATATCCTGAATTACAATCATTGGGATTCGTTTTCAAATGTACAACGGAAAAGGTTAATGTAGTTTTTAAAATGCGTATCATTATTTGTAAGTTAAACTCTGCATGTCTTGAAGCCATGAGGCATTAGCTAATAATTTTCTAAAAATTAAAAGACAAAAAAAAAAAAACTTTTTTACACATTTTATTTTTACAATTTATTTGCTTACCTTGACGTAAATATCCCAGATTATAATGTGACCCTTTTATTACAGCAAATGTATCTTTATTTTCCATATTTCTGTTTCCTGTGTACAACATATAGGCAATTTATAACAAAATGAGAAAAAATTATTGAAGAAATTTAAAATTGAAATATATTTTATTTGAAAGTTTATGGACCTTTTAACCGTGAGCTGGAACAATTGTATACATGTATAATTTGAGCTGACTTGACGGTTATAAGAAATGTATCAAGAGTTTTATTTTTTATGCTTCTTTAATAAAATCTTGTTTTTGTTTTTGTTTTTGTACTGTAAAACAATAATCCTTTGTGTCCGTGTCTTTATTTCTGTGATGTTAAAGCTGTATGGCACATGCAATGATAGATTAGTGTTGCCTTCAAATCCATTTAACAAGTTGTTGTTTTTTTAACCTCGTCCCTTAGTAAAGAAAAGTCTTATTATAGTTAACGAAAACCAAAACCACAAAACTTTTGTTACTTGAAGTAAAATAAATGCATTTTCACCTAGTTGCCACAGCATTTCTTATTTTCATTTGGTTTAACTTGCAGTACTTTTTTTTTAAGTTTTGGTAAATGTTTTTTTGGGGGGCATTTTAGTAAAAAAAAAATTTAATGTCTATATAGTTATTATTAATTTTCTTTTGAAGGTTTAGTAAATTTGTTTGTTTTTTTTTTGTCATTTTTAATTTTTTTAAATTCATTTTTTAAAAGGTAAAAAAAATTTTTTTTAATGTCTATAGTTTTTATTTATTTTTATTTCAGTTTTAGCCATTTTAGTACTTTACTAAAATTGAAAAGAAAATAAAAATATGAAATGCTTTTTTTTCCTTTCTTTTTTTTGATGGTTCTAGTTTACTATAAAAACCTTGGCTGTTAAATAATTCATGTCATCAATAATATAACCAGATGTCCATTAATCTAGAACTGGAGATCTTTACAGCTCAAAATGTGTATGTAGTTCTTTAATAAAAACGATACCTTCACTTTTCTGCTGTTAAATGCTGGTCCAGTTTTCTTCCACTGCAGGTGCATTATTCTAACAGCTACATGGTGTGTTTAACAGCATTAAATTATTAACATTTATTTTAGGGATGCACGATATATCGGCCACCATATCGGTATCGGCCGATAAATGCTCATTTTTTCTGTTATCGGTATCGGCCTGATAGGAAAATTTGGCCGATAAATAATGCATTATTTCCTTCAGAGACACTTCAGATGCGCGCTGTTCGTTTGCAGCCTTTTGTGCAATTGTACGTTGTAATATTGTGTTTATTTGATGTATATCTGATTTATCTCATATAGAATGCGTTTGGTTAAGTTAAAAGAGCGCTTCAGTTTACCGGTGATCGTCTTTAGCTCAGCGCACGCAGCTCAAACAGCAGTGCACAACATTAATAACTATGATTGGGAATGTCGTGTATATTTAAAAAATAAAATAAAATATATGACATCAGCTGTAAAAGTAATTTCAGAAGTGGTGCAAAATTATAAGACAAACTAAAAAAAATAATAATAATTTAATATATTTTTAAACCTGACATCAGTTGTAAAGTCATTACAGAAGTAGCACAAAACCATGACGCTTAAAACACAAATAAATAATGATAAAATAAATGTGTATACAAAGACACTTGATTGCACTGTGGTTTAGTCTAAAACAGCAGATGTGATCGTCTGTCATGTAAAGGGTTAGTTCACCTCAAAATCACACCTCAGACTCATGCCTCTCCGAAAAGACTCAAAGAGTGCCATTAAAGTCCATGTGACGACTTCTAGTTTTCTGAGACAACTAGTGCGTTCATCTAGATTCAAAGGGAAACTTCTGAACACATTCGTAACATCCACCAGCTACAATGAAACGTTTTAGGGCTGCATGATTTGGGGAAAAAAACGAATTGCAATTTGTCTGCTAAATAAAAGGGCCAGCTGTATCGATACTCGTATCGTCATATCAATGTATCCAACACAGCACTAATATATATATATATATATATACATATGTGTGAAGAGTTCATTTGCAAAAACAGATGACTCCGTTTTTAACATTTCTCAGAAGTCATGTTTTTTCATTGTGCGTTCCAAGTAATCTCAATCAAACTTTAGTTGGGTTATTTTGATTAGGTTAAAAAATAACTAATAATTACAGCTAACTAACAAATCACCGGATTGTGAGTAAATGAACACACTGCTGCGCTTCACTCTGAAGCACAGCGCACATATTTATTTATTTCATTTTAATTTTATAAATCGTGCAGCTCCGATACATTTCAAGACAAGTTCAGACTCCAGAGATTCATTGCATGTGAACGTCATGTTAAAATTGCGCACATTCTGATTTGACGTGAATGATATAAAAAAACTACAACAGCTAGTTGCAACTAATGAATATTTTTGAATATTGAATTTTGAGTTTTGAATATTGTTCATATTTTTTTATTACATTTTGTTAAGATTTTTTATTAGTTTTCTGTTTTCACTTAAATTTTTACGGAAGAGGATTAGGGCCAAGCAATAATTTAAAAAAATGAACCATCTCGAGATTAAAGTCATTTTTAATGCGAGATTAATTTTATTTCAAGAAACATGTCGAAATAAAATGTTGAGAATTAACTCATTAAATTACGAGAAAAAATTTATTTCGTATTTTTTTCTTGAAATGTAACGATTCTTTTCTCGAAACTACTTTTTTCTCGTAATTTAATGAGTTTATTCTCAACATTTAATTTCATCTTTTATTCTCGAAATTTAATGAATTTTTTCGCAAAACACAATGACTTTATTCTCGTAATTTAATTAGTTTATTCTCAATATTTTATTTATATACGAGAAAAAAATGTAAATTAAATGTTGAGAATAAACTCATTAAATTACGAGAAAAAAGTCGTGTTTCAAGAAAAAACGAGTTAAATTTCGAGAAAAAAAGTCTAAATAAAATGTTGAGAATAAACTCATTAAATTAAGTGAAAAAGTCATTGTGTTTCGCGAAAAAATTCATTAAATTTCGAGAAAAAAGTCTAAATTAAATGTTGAGAATAAACTCATTAAATTACGAGAAATTTTTTTTAATAAAATGTTGAGAATAAACTCATTAAATTACGAGGAAAAAGTAGTGTTTCGAGAAAAGAATCGTTCAATTTCGAGAAAAAAAGTCTAAATAAAATGTTGAGAATAAACTCATTAAATTACGAGGAAAAAGTAGTGTTTCGAGAAAAGAATCGTTCAATTTCGAGAAAAAAAGTCTAAATAAAATGTTGAGAATAAACTCATTAAATTACGAGAAACATTTTTAAATAAAATGTTGAGAATAAACTCATTAAATTACGAGAAAAAAGTCATTGTTTCGAGAAAAGAATCGTTACATTTCAAGAAAAAAGTCGAAATTAAATGTTGAGAATAAATTCATTAAATTACAAAGAAAAAAATATTTTTCTCAACATTTAATTTCGACTTTTTTCTCGAAATTTAACTAGTTTTTTCTCGAAACACAACTTTTTTCTCGTAATTTAATGAGTTTATTCTCAACATTTAATTTAGACTTTTTTTCTCGAAATTTAACTCGTTTTTTCTCGAAGTCACACACATATTGTCCGATCATAACCGGTGTTGGGGAAAGTTACTTTTAAAAGTAATGCATTACAATATTGCGTTACTCCATAAAAAAGTAACGTTTTCCATAAAAAAGTAAAAAAAACGAAAAAGTTACTTTTTTATGTAACGTAATGCGTTACGTTACTTTTGCGTTACTTTTAAAATCTGGACAGGGCTTGCTTGTTTGTTTTTAAAATAAAAAAGTTATATTTTTGGCAAATATAAAAGCCTTTTCACACCAAAAGTGAAATGAATGCGCCTCAGGCTGAAGGGAAAGTACAGTAGAATGCAGAAGAAGACATTTCAACACACTTCAGCGCAATGCGCAGAATTGGGCTACTTTATCACTGTTGCTGCGGGTTGTTTTTCATGTCCGCGGGTTAAAGCGACCCCGATTACTTGATATTTAGCCCCTGGAGTGCAAATTTGACCTGTATTATACCTGTACATGTATTTCCCCCCCCCCTCCCCCCGATTTTTAACGGGGAGCCCCTCTCGAAATGCGATTGGGCTAGTTTTGGGCTAGTTTTGAGTAGCAATTGGGCGGGTTTTGTTGTGAAGACCTGGCAACCCTGCTGCAGACTCGCCAGAGTATTCACACTGGAAGCGTTGTACAGCGTCACAGCAGCGGCTCCAAAGCCACATATTTCTTTACAAAGACAACTATACATTGGTTTTTCGAAGTTGGTCGGTTATAAACTTGAAAGTTTTAAAGTCTCGAAAGTTTATTAACACAGGGATTCGCGAGTAAATGGTAAACAACAAAACAGCTCCTATGTCGTTTCAGGCCTACTTAAATATAGAACGTGCTGTTTATACTAGGGCTGTCAAAATAGCTGAAAAACTAAATTCGAATTTACTTAAATATGATCTATATTAAAATTTAAAAGGCATAATTTCAGTTAGGGGGGAAAAAGCTTTTGGCTTCTCTCCTGTGGCCACAAGAGGGTGCATTGAACAAAATATTAAGCACGTTTCTTCAAAGTATAATAAAATAACAGGACTATCTACCACCATGGAATAAAAGACTCTAAGTACCGGATGAAGTGCTTCTTATTCTTACCCAAAAATACAAAATAGAAGAAAGAGTTAAAACTGAACACAATCTTGCTACTCAAGCTGTGCATGAACATTTATATATATATATTTATTTGCTTCTTTTCCATTTTGCATTTACTTGTACTTTTACTTTCAATACTTAAGTACATTTAAGATAAAAAAAAATACTTTTCGTACTTAAGTACAATAAATATCACATACTTTAAGACTTTTACTCAAGTAATATTCTAAACGGTGACTTCAACTTCTACCAAAGTCATTCTCTGATAAGATTTTCATACTTTTACTTGAGTGTGGCTTTCAGGTACTTTATACACCACTGATTGTTCTAATATTGCAATACAATGGACAGAATTTGAAATCTGAGACTGTTTCATATTAAAAGTACCAAAGCACAATGCTTATTGTGATTTATTGGATGGGAAGTGCCCTTCAGTGTTCCATCCATTAACTGAAAACAGGCTAGAATAATCGATATCGTTCCGTAT